TGCTGAGGGTGTAGGAAGGTCTGGCCTTGCTGAAGTAGGTGTGGCCTTGTGATGTGACAGCGAAGGAGCCCTCATAAGAGTCAATGCTACTGTTTCAACTTTAAACATCCCGAACTGTGAGCTAAACAGACCCTTTTGATGTATAAGTTACCTAACTTCAGATACTTTGTGATAACCACAGATAACAGAGTGTTTCAAAGCTGACTCCAAAGGTATTCTAGGAAGCGCAGAGACTGGTAACCACTTCAATAAGGAAAGGGAATGGATGGAACAGCGACAAGAGCGTCGCAGCATGAGCTATCAAGGGAGACATCCCATGTAAGCCAGGCCTCCTGAAGACACACAAGGGCCAGTCTTGCTGTTTCATACCAATCTTCTCGAGAACTAACAAGGGTCCCAAAAGAACTGGCGTAATCCCTTCCAAGGGAAGGGCCTTTTGTGACCTAACGACCTCCTCTGGGTCTTACTTCATCTCAGTCTCAACATCTTACCAATACTATCCTGGGATCGAACTGCCAACATACGCACCCTTAGCTAGCACGAGTCACACCCAAACGGCAGCACTCTCTGAGCCTTGCGTTCCTCCCTTAGAGAACAGAGACAACTCCTTATTACAGAGCTGTTGTAAGAATCGTGCGCTCTCTCCAGCAAGTATCCACTGTAGTTCAGCAACAATTGGTCAAGCATCACACAGTGCTGTTTAGACTGGTCGTGACCGCACAATTCTAGGATTACCCAAGCTTTGCAGGCTTGTCAGACTTTCTAGTTTGTACTGGCTCCTTTGGAACTCAGGAGGCTCTGCCCACACGGAGAGAAAAGTGGCAGCTCTTCACATTCCACCTCCCTGAAGAGGGACCAGCTATGACCCGGGGGAGGAGAGACAGAGACGCTGCAGAGTGGACAAAATGCATGAAGGGGAGCCTATGCCGACATTCCCGAGGGTCTGATGACTTACGTCAAGGTATGCCCTTCCAAGATTGAATGATAATGATGGGAAATCTACATGAAGTCCAATCTCTGTGGGTTTTTTTTTATGATTAATCTTTGATTAGCAAACATTACATTTCTCTGTTGATTTGCCTACTGAAACCAACAAAACAAAAATCCAGGCATTCCTAGAGCCCCTGAAGCAGAACGGTCATGGGTTCTGACCGACTCCAATTAGTAACCACTGGGCTCCAAAAGCGACTTGTCGTGGGGCTGCCCATGAGATGACGGAGGACAGCTTCTGAGAATGGCCTCCCCAGGTCTCATGTTGGGCAACTTGGCTTTAACTGCTCCCATGAGCCCCTCCCAGAGACACACGTAATTTCCAAAGAATGGTGACATAGTCTCCTTCTCTGAAGGCAGGAGGAAAAGCAAGTTCTGAGTTAAAATACTGTTTGTTGGGTTTTCTTGTTTACAAACCCCTGTTGAAACTTCGTGTCACTCACTAAGCAAGCTGGGAGTGTGGCCGCATCTGAACATCTATCGAAGAACTGAAAACGGACAGGAGAGGGGGAAAGAAATACAAGCAAAGAGGGTGAAGTCAGAGAGCCAATAGCAAAGACTAGAAGAGCGTACACCTTAATGAATACAAGAGACATTTGCTTAACAGACCATAAATTCAAAGCCCTAAGATCCTCCTTCAAGACTTCCAACGCAGCTGGACCTCCAGGGAGAATAACTTTGCTGATGACTGAAAGGAAAGGGAGAGAAGCCAGGGACACGACCCAGCGGGTCCACTGCTTACTATAGAACATGAGCAGCCGAGTTCTGTCCCCAAGGAGAAAAAAACAAGTGTGGTGGCAGAGGCTTGTAAGCTCTGTCCAGTATTGGGGAAGTGAGAGCTGGCCTGACTTCATCGTAAGCCCCAGGTCCCAGGGGGAATCCTTGTCTCGGAAAAGAGGGACAGCTCTTAAGGAACAATGTCGGAGGTTAACGTTTAGCCTCAGCACACACACATACACACACACACACACACACACACACACACACATACACACACACATACACACACAGGAAGACACAGGAGGACAGGTAGAGAGAAAGAAGAGAAAATCTTAACTGGTGAAGAGGCACTAACAATGGTATTACCCTTTCAAAGACGAGAAAGTGCGTTCTTCACAAACTGGCTGCTGAGCTAGAAAAGCAGAATTATTGGACCCGGTGTGGTGGCACACTCCTTTAATCCTAGTGCTTGGGAAGCAGAGACTGGCAGATCTCTGAGTTCAAGGCCAGCCTGTTCTACATGGCAAATTCAAGCCAGCCAGGACTCTATAGTGAGACCTTGTCAACGTCAGATTTCTTATGGTTTTGTTGTTGTTGTTGTTGCTGCTGCTGCTGCTGTTTTGCTACTAAATGGGGGAGAGGAGGAACTGGTGCTCTTGGTCCCTGGGAGACCTGCCCAGTGCTGACCTGCCCTGTTAAGCATCTGCCACTCCAGAGACGTTTGTTGGAGTATTCGATCATTTCTTTGCTGGGCCTCTCTGAGCTCTACCTCCTGCACACAGAGGTAAGGGGGCTGGCCTGGCTCATCTCTATAACCCTTGTGGCTCTCTAAGGGTTTATGGGTCTGGGATTCTGTCCAGCTGATATTACATCAGGACCAATCACTTTCTTCACAACTAGGTCACTTAAACAAGGAGGGACGTGCGCTATGCAGTCTAAAAATTCCCCGTGCCGCCCTACAGATTTCATTCTCACTTGTCTTTTGCTTGCTGGGGGCAAAGAGTTAATCATTTTCCTACCCATGTACTTGCTTTCACTTGAACCAGGTTTAATTTATACATAGCTTTGCTATGACTTTCGCTCTGGCTCGGGCTGGCAGTGCTCCAGATTTGGGTTTAAAGGGAGAATGTGATTCATGTGTTCCTACCACTCCACTGGCTCTCAAGGCTCTCCCTGGCTTCCAGTCCTAATCCCTTCCCTCCCAGGTTGTTCTCTACCTGGAGTCCCAGCCACCAAAGTATGGGCACCCACTAGATTGTCCGGACATCAGAAATATAAAATTAACATAACCTGCTCTGGCGACGCTCCCCAGTATCCCACAACTAAACTTGCACCCTCAGTTTTTAGGGCCTCCGTGTATCTCTCCTCTTGGACATAAGTCATACTTGGTAAAACTTTATGGTTTGATAATAACTGCAAATCACAAAAGACCTGAAAAGGTAGGAGAAACACAAAGATTACCGGATTTTTACCCAGATTTCCCCTTCGTTACAGTTTTACTCTGCTTCTGTCTAGGGACGGGCTCACTTTTACATGCTGGTGGCTGCTGCCCTGCGTGTGCCTTCTCCCAGAATCATGTATAACAATACCCTATGCCCTTTAATAAATGAACTGCACCTTTTAAAGGGGGACAAGCTTTACCACTCATATTTTAAAATCCCTTCCTTATATCTATAAACTCAATAAAACCTTGTAAAACAAAACGAACCCTTTCCTTGGGTACAAAATAAAGAAGAATTGGTTTTAAGACAGGATAACCAAACAATATATTAAACACTAAGTATTAAGGTATCTTATGGTTGCCTTTAAAGCCTGAGAAAGGTGTTGGGGCTGAGGCTTCCTGCTTCCCCTCCTGTCCAACTCATCTTATTCCTAAAATTGTGTTAAGCCCAGCTAAAAAGCAAACAAACAAACAACACCTTTATCTTATCCTGGACGGTCAGAAGAAAATCCTTGAAGCTAACCAGGTAAATGGACTATGACAGGAGTCCGTCCCCTGTGCGAACACAAAGTACCTTAGGTACGTCACTGCTGTACAGAGTTGGCAAGCTCCAGAAGACAGAAACGAAAGGAGAAATGCCCCTTAACCAGCCATCTTCCATGATCCTTCCCCCTGGAGTTAAAAGTAAGACCACTCAAGTCTGTACACAAGACAAGGGATGGGAAGGGCTGCCCACTACCTCTCTGGCTTTTTTAAGTCTCAGAAGGCAACAAGGACCACCTTTGCCGCTCAGTCCAGGAAGTGAGAGTCTCCCTTCTCTCAGTACTTCCCGGAGAACTTTCCCCTTGATTGCTAAGCCCACATTATGGTGAGGGCCCAAGAAGAGGAAATAAACCAGGCAAGTCCCTTCCACCAGCACCACCAGAGATTCCAGGCCCTTCTTCCTTCTGGGTGACCTTGCTTACTTGTTATGACTCGAGGCAAACAGATTGGTCTCCGCGTTCCCGGAGACTTTCTTGTTGAAATCACTGTTTCTAAATCCTTTCCTTGTAACAACTACAAAATCTTTAGATAGAACCTTTTACGAACAAATGTTCCTTAAGCAATTAATTCCAAAACGTTAAAAAAAAAAATTAGAAGCATAAAGTAAGTAGCAAGCGCTCGTTCTCTTTAAACTTTACAAAGTCTAGACATGTTTAAATCAACAGGACTCTATTGTCAAGGTAACTCCAAGGTAACTCTGATTAAATGAATCCAAAACATTTACCTTGCAGTGACCCCCCCTCCCACCAGCCACCTCCCTGACCCCTGCATTTTTTTTTTAAGTATGGATAGTCACATTAAAGTAGTTTTTAAAGTAGAAGGAACAGAAAAAGGAAATAAGTATGTCTTGGGAGTCCACACACAAAGTGTTTGGACAGCAAGAGCTCTAAAAGACGTGTGAAAACACGAACTACACTCGCAAGCAGGCAGCCAGGCAGGCAGGGAAATGCACGGCAGAGAGGTAAGAGCGGGAGGTGCCGGGGTTTGGCTCTGGGCAAACAAAAGGCACCATGATCTATCTACCTTTCTTGGATGCCCTGCGCCGAATCTTCATCTTGGGGAAGGAAGGCCAGGAGTAGTTGAAAGGTGAGTCGGAGTCAGAATCCATTGTTTGTTTGGGTAAAAGGACCAGCTGAGGCGGAGGAGAGCAGGCAGACCGTGCCCAGCTAGGAGCCTCCCCGTGATGTCAAAGGCGGGAATGGGGCTGGGTGAAACAGCTCCAAACTCAGGGAGGGAGAGGCAATAAATGTTTTGCTTCCTTCGGGCGTTCAGGCATGTAGACCAACAAGGAGGCTGTAAATATTAAAGCCAAACCAGAGAAGCCAGAGGGGGAGAGCGGGGGACCTGGAGTCTGGCTGATACATCGCAGTCCAGTTATTCAAAGGGTCATCAGGGAGCAAATGAATCATTAACTCCCCTCTTCTTGTGGCTAGATATGGAAATGAAGAAGGAAGGGCGCGGGGATGAGAACGAACGCTGCCCAGTGTTTCAAGAAAAGCTTCCCAAGACAGGCGCCTGTTTTGCTGAGAGCGAGGAAATCGTTCTTAGGGAAAGCTGTGTTGTGCTTCGCTGCAGTTTGTGTGCAGAGAGTCGATCCACAGCAAACGCAAGCCAGTCTGCTCCAGGGACCACCCCTCCAGAGAAACTGAGAGTCTACACCATCAGCGACCTGGGCAGGTTGGAGGTTGTAACTGATATTTTATTTAACAGTCTGGTCTCCCGCTTCTTTTGGTCCTAAATTGGTCAGACGCTTTCAACTTCATACGCAGTGGTGCTCACCTCATTACACCCATCCAAAGTCACTCACTACTGTTTAGGACGACTTGGTTGTTTGTTTGCTCCTTCCCTGGACTGTTACCAAGTTTAGCAGTCAGTCATAAGGTTTTGGGTGACTCTGCAGCTCAGTACTAAACTTTCAGTCCATCTCACTATGCTAATGACTCATTTGCCACAAACCCAAAGTTCCTGCAGTTCCCCCTAAACGCTTCCCAGTGATTAGCATTCAGTGGCAGCCCACACTGCCTCCCTATAAATGACGGCTGCCACTCACTGATTTTTTTCCACTCCTATAGGCACACAGAGATAGGGGACCCAAATAAGATCAAGCTGAGCGGCCAAGGTCTATAGAGGACTCTCTTGCAAGATTCCCTAAAGCACTCCATGCAAGAGGAACACCAAGAAGTTCTAGGTTTTGCTCTGTTTTATGAAGCCTTGGGATGCTCAGTGAAACTAAAGGAAACAACACGAGGAGCCATTTGATCCTGTAGGCTTGGAACACAACAGCGTGTGTCTTCATTAGCATTCATCTCTTCAATTCCCTCTCCAGCCCTTGGCACCAGCGTTGTGCTGTGGAAGAAACAGCTTCCCAGATTGCTCTGAGGGTAGCTAATCCTCTCTGATTAGGGAGGTGTGAGCGAGGGGCGCAAGCCAAGATAAGAAGTGGGAGGGTCTACGAGGTGTAAATTCAAGTCCGAATCCGGATTAGGTAAACCACTACTGTGCTTTCATATGGTTTTCTAGATCATTAGGAAACTCCAACAAAATAAAGCTAGAATATAGCGGCGGGGATTTAACCTAAAGGAAAACTGAGTGATTTTTCTAGGTTGTAGCCTTTTAGCTGAAGAATAAAGTATACATTTTTCTTGAACAGATGGGTGCAACTGTAAGAATAAATTATTCCCAGCCTTTAACATCAAGTAAGAGAGTTTTAATCGATATGATCCTTAATAAGAAAAGAAAAGAAAAAAACAGACAGTGGAAGCAGGGAGATGGATTCAAGCCTAACAACCCTGGTTCAATCCCTGGCACCCACATAATGGAAAGAGTCATCTTCTCATCTTCTGATTTCACATGTGTATCCTGACATATGTGTCCCCCTCCTAAATAAAAGTTAAAAATTACATGTGTGTATTTGTGCACCAAATACAAGCAAATAAGAAGAGGCTATCAACTTGAGGGGGGATATTATTTGAGGGAGAGTAGTTGGGAGGGGTAGGAGGAAGGAAGGGGAAGGGATGTAATTCTTCAATTAAAAACATTAATTTTTTTAAGTAAACAAAGTAGACAAGAGAAGCTGGAAGCTTGAGATGTAGCTCAGTTGATAGAGTGTTTGCCTAACACGCATGAAGTCCTGGGCTTGGTCCCCATCACTGCACAACTGGCCTTGATGGTGCAGGCCTGGAATCCCAACACTTAAGAGGAGAGGCAAGAAGATCAGAAGTCAGTTGCATAACAAGTTTCAGGCCAGTCAGGGGTACATGAGATGTGGTTTCACGTACAGAACCAAGGAGCAAGCCTGGGGCACTGTAAACAACTGTTAAATGAATGAGTCATACAAGTTGGTCACAACCTGAGGGTAAAAAAACCCTACACGACAGCTGTAGTAGCTGGAGCATCTATTGACTACACCTATATATTTTGATAAAGCACAGAATTCTTAAAATTGTTTAAAATATATTGATATTTGTGTAATAAAGGTATCTGCATTTGTAGAAAGAACATCATCTCTCAGTAAAGAAAATTTCTAGTTCCCTAAGGCTTCAGCTAACATTTGGACATTGTGTGACCACAAGCTTCTTCTAAGTCATCTCTAGGCCAAAACAATATGTGTGGGGGGGCGGGGATCTGCACTCACATAGCCTGAAATACTATCAGGATATTGCTATGCTCGTTCAGTTACGTGTCAAGGAGTCTGCAAGGAGATTCCAGGCTATTAGAAATGCTGGTGTCCTCACTCCCAGCCACTGCTAGTGGTTTTTAGCTCCTTGCTCCACCAAGGCATGGGGATGCTATATGTACTATGCTGTCCTGGTAATGTGGGAAAGGGGAGCTATGTTTTTGGTAAAATGGGAAACGCAACAAGCATGCAATGCAATCAGGACCCCTAATTTGCTTTGCTGAAGGTGGCCAGAATGGAATGACACACTCGGGCTTCATCAGTACAGGCAGCAGTGCAGGCCAGGACTCCCTCAAAGGCATCATCAGCATAGGTGAGGCGGACAAGAGGCAGAGAGTTCACTACAATGCAAACAACTGGATTCCTAGTCCAACACTGGTGCAGGATTCTGTACTAAGAAGGAGCACCATCCTAGCTGATCCTCAGGTTCAGAGATATTTCAGAGCCATTGAACTGGGAGATAGGTAAGAACAAGTCAAGAATCTACAGGAGGGGCTAGAGAGATGGCTCTGCCGTTAAGAGTATTTGCTGCACTTTCCGAGGACTTAAGTTCAGTTCCCAGCACCCACACTAGGCACCTCACAACTGCCTTGTGGCCAGGTCCAATATTCTCTTCCCATCTCTGAGGGTACCTGCCCTCACATGAGCATGCACTCACACGTGCACACACAATTAAAAGCAAATCTTTTCAAAGAAGTTTCTGGACAGATATTCCTCCCTTGACTACCATTTAGACTAATAGGTCAGAAGAGTTTAAAAAGACAGACAGAGGAACCGGGCACGGTGTTTCTACAGGTTGAGGTGACAAGGAGGTGTGTCTTAATCTGTTTTCCTAGAGGCACACTCCTGTTGACACAGTACAGATCAATGACTTCATGGAAATTTTCTGACAATAAAAGAATCAGCGATACAAAGAGCTGTGCAATCCAGAGACTTTCCAGAGCCCTCATTTGCCTTCGTCTGTCCATAGTTGTTGAAGAAATGAAATGAGCTCCACTCACCAGCCCTGCGGTAGCATGGAGAGGGAGGTAGAAAATATTACTTGCACAGTCTGTTTTATTTTTAGGTCAGCTCAGTTGCTTGCCTTCCAAAGACTCCTTAAATGTGTTTCATTTATCCTCATTGTTTCCTACTGTGATTGAGGACACCATTCCCTCTCTCTCTCTCTTTCTCCATTTTGTCAATTTAATTGCATTTAAATTAATTCAAGAAGTTATTTACATCTCATTCATATTCAAAAGATACATTTTTTTTGGCTTTGTCTGATTGGTTGATCAAAACTGCATTTGGAAGAATTTAATGATACAGTCTCCAGTCACTTTGTAAAGACTTAAGACACAGTCATGACCGTAGTGTGCCAGTGACCTCATGGGCTATACCTTCACCTCCCAGAGCCTTCTTTAATTACCAGATATTTCACTGAGCAAAGCAGCTCCACCAGGTTCTTATCATTCAAGGCAGACACTGCCGCCTTCAAGTTGCTGCTTTCTGGGGGACCCATGCAGAAAATACCCCTCCACTTTCTTCATACGGACAATAGGCCACTTCCCTCTTGATCTCGATAAAACTAAATCTTTTCAAAAGAATATTAATATGGGATTTGAGGACTGGTAACTGTGAAGCTTTCTTATCTCCTAAAGAGATACCAAATTCCTTGAGTTTGATTCATATTTTAAAAGTACCTCATGCTACAAGGAAAATCATGGGCAGCAGCAACACACACACCACACACACACACATCTGATAAATATACATATATATCTACCACTTAATTAGTATCCTTAACCACGTCACTCATATGATCTGAATCTTAGCACATTCAAAATAGAATCATAACATCTATACTGCAGGGGTTATCATGAAGAATATAGCATAAAGAAATTAAAGACATTTCCAGTATACTTTAAATATGAATAAGAAATAAAGTGTCCTTTCATTGTAGTTTTTATTCAACAGTGTACTGTTGAAGTATTCACATGATGACCTCAAGAGTCAATAGCCGTATTATTTCTGGCTCCTTCTTTTGTCATCTATTTTAGAAGCCACACCACCCAGCAATAGAGAGAACCTCTGATACACTGGTCAGGAAGGTGATGGTGGCCACAGCAGTCTTACAGTTGAGTGACCTGGACGTCACTCAAATCTGTTGAAGCCACCCACCCTTCATGTGAGTTTACACAAGTGTCTGATATGACCATTTGACATCAAAGAGACCATGGCCACCCTCTGATGACACTAATGGAACCATTTTCTGAACAAGCTTCTGTAAATGGAGACTGAATTTGTTTCCCAGTCACCCAGACCTGAATAATCACAAGAAACTATATTAATTACAACACTGTTTGCCCAATAGCTTAAGCATATTCCTAGCTAGCTCTTACATCTTAAATTAACCCATTTCTATCTATTAATCTGTGTATCACCAGGAGGCTGTGGCCTACCAGTAAGGTTCTGGCGTCCTTCTCCTTCAGCAGCTACATGGCATCTCCTTGATGCCTCCACCTACCCTCTCTATACTCTTCCATTACGGCTATATTCTGCCTTGCCATAGAGCTAAGCAGCTTTAGTCATTAATCAATAACAGCAACACATATACAGAAGGACATCCCACATCAACTCCCCTTTTCTGTCTACATGAAAAATAAGGTTTAAACTTTAACATAGTAAAATTACATATAATAAACCAGGTATCAGGCAAGAATTAGTTACAGTATTTCTTTGTGAGTCTAAAGTTTCATATCTAATTTATCTTTTATAATAACTAAGGAAAATTATAACTATCTGTCTTCAACTCCTCCAAAGACCCCAGAAGGGTACAATATTAACTAAGCAAACAGGAAGTGCATTGTAAGCAACTTTCAAAACTCTAGAATTGACAGAGACATCTCACTGCCTGGATAGTCACCCAAAGTTCTTCTGTAACATTGGGGCATCCATCTTCAGCCTACAGGACCATAGTATCTGGCAAACTTTTCCATGAAGCAGAAGATTTGAAAGACCGTTTTGCCTATAGTGGTAGCTTGTCAGTCACTTTCTTCTGTGTCTGCAGACTATCTGGCAGACTTTTTCATGAAGCAAGAACCCTGAAGGATGGTCTCACCTTCTTTAGGCAAGTTCAGCAGTCATTCTTCTATGGGTCTTCCTGCATGTCCAGTTTACATAGCAGACCATCATGCAGTCCAGGGAAGAGCAGTTTCTTGCCCAAATGGCTAGCCTTGTCACATTGAAGGCAAATTCCATAACAAGCTTCTCCAATGCCCATCATCCTTGTAAAGTAACTGGTGCTGCCAGAAGCAGACATGTCTCACTGTCAAGAAAAGTCTAGGTTCTTAAAACGTTTTGAATGCCATATTCTGTAGGTTTTTACCTATCTAACTGAAATATATCTCTATATATTTAGAAAGCCTAACAAACACAACTACAAGTTTGACTATTATAAATGACTATTAATCTGTAATTTTTAATTAGACATTGCACTTTTAAATGAGCAATATAAGCATAATACTTTAAAAACAAGTAAAAATATACATATAGCAAAATTGACCTTAAATTTGTATCAATATGCCAAAGTCCATACCAATGTAAAGTATTCATTTTTATATCATATCCCTTTTTTTCTGTAGAAAGACTTTGACTGTGACTATTAAACATTTATAATCAACTTCCTTTAAATGAAAACAAACATTTATAAACAATCATTTTGGGAACTTGGGCATTGTTTTCTCCAAACTGCTTCCTGCTGTTTTTTGGGCAAAGTATTTTTATGGTTCACAGAGACCTTGTGGGAAGAGGATCTTGTTCCATCAAACCACATTAGCCTGAAAGGAGTCCACAGGCTCTCATCTTCTGTGGAAAAAAATATTAGAACCTCTTTTGCAACATATCCTTATATTCAAATTTTGAAGTCAAGATATCCTTAAAATTTGTATGTTTGTTTAGCTTAGTAGCTCCCCAAATCAAATGTCTCTCTGCAGTCAAAAATTTTTAAAAATACAATAATATACATAATCCAGGCTCTCTGTGTATTTTTCATTTTATATGGTGTTTTAAATTACTTTTTAATAGTTATTATCTTTATTCCTCTAATCTATGATGGTCTGTACTCTTTTATATTACTTTTACTGCCTCTTGAAAGACTTTGTTTTAGTTTTCAAACTATTTCTTTTTATAATTGCTTAAACTCTTTTTTTCTCTCCCAAGCCTATATACATTTTTAAAACACAC